AAGATCATCTTGTGTAATTATCTTCTTCATCCACAAAAAAGACATAGATGTTGTATACTCACTTATAAGTGGATATGAGTCATAAAGTACAGGATGACCATGCTAGAATCTACAGATCAAAAGAAGCCAAGGAGGGCTTAAGGGAAGATGCTGAATCTCATTCAGAACAGGAAATAAAATAGGCATCTGAAGCAGATGGAGGGAGGGAGAGGTAGTGGGAAAGGTAATATGGGTAGTGATCAGATGTACAGAGAGCAGGGGGTGGTGTGGAGGTGAGAACTGGGAGAGAGAATGGAAATCGGTGGGGGACATCTCTGGCCCAAGGAAGGCTCCTGGGAGTCTATGGGGTTGAACTTAGCTGAGATTTCTAGCAAAGAGGATTAAGGAGCCTGAAGTAGCTGCCTCCTGTAGCCAGGTGGGACTACCAGTGGAAGAAAGGGGATACCAACCTGCTCATAAAACCTTAGATACAAAAATTGTCTTTACTACAGGAAGTGTAGGGATAAAGATGGAGTTGACATTTAGCAAATGGCAAACTGATGGCTGACCCAACCTGAGGCACACCCCATGGGAGAGAGCCAATCCCTGTCACTATTGATGATACTCTGCTTTGATTGCAGACAAGAACCTAACACAACTGTCTTCTGAGACGTTTCATCCGGCAGCTGATGGAAACAGATGCAGACTCACACAGCCAGACAATAGGTCGAGCTTGGGGAGTCCTGTGGAAGAGTGGGAGGAAGTAAAGAAGGAGCCAGGGGGATCAAGGACAACATAAGAAGACCCATAAAGTCAACTGACCTGGGTCCATGGGAGCACACCAATACTGAACAACCAACTAAAGTGCATGCATGGACTCGACCTCGGCCCCTCCTCACATATGGAGCAGAAATGCAGCTTGTTCTTCATGTGGGTCCCTAGCAATGGGAATAGGGACTGTCTCCAGCTTTATTGCCTGTTATTGGCTACCCCTAGCAGGTTTGCCTTGTCAGACCTCGGTGGGAGAGGAGTCACTTAATCTTGTTGCAACTTGAGATGCATAGGTGGATTGATATCCCTTGGGGGCCTCCCCTTATCTGAGAAAAAGGAGATGAGGAATGGGAGGGTGGGGGGTGGGGTGTGACTGGGAAGAGAGGAGGTACCAGGCCGAAGTCAGGCTGTAAAGTGATTAAATTGATAAATAAATGAAAAATATAAACAAATAAATAACCCCGATAGATAGATAGATAGATAGATAGATAGATGATAGATAGATAGATAGATAGATAGATAGATAGATAGATAGATAGATAGATAGATGGAAAGATGGATGGATAGACAGACGGACAGAAAATCTAAGTAAAGATTTTAGGGAATCTCATTTCTCATAGGGGAAAGGCTCATAGGGAAAGCTCTGTAAGAGCTCCAGATCTCATTTCTGAAATAACTAAAGGTCATAGAATTAAGTCATATATTAGGATTTCTCCCGGTTGTCCCAAAACTTAACACAGAACTCTGACTCAGAGTAAGACGTGTAGAACTGTAGAGGAAGTACACACATTATCCATGGTGAACCATTCAGACGAATCACTGAACAAAAACTGCTGCAGCTAGGCTGACAACCCCCAAGGCCCATATGGCAGAAGGAGAGAATCGTCTGTGTGAATAGACACTCTCATAATTCAGTGTAATATATTTTGAAAGTAAATAATTTGTGGTATTTGTTTGTGGATATGGTACATCATTTTTTAAGCACAGTGAGTTCAGTTTGTGTTACTGAAATAGGATTGGGTATGGGACAACCACAGGAGTGTGCTACTTCTTAGCTAGGGACTGGGCCTTATGGCTACTTCCACATTCATATCCTTACCTGTCTAGCTTGGCTCTGTACAAGTTTTGCATGTGTTGTCATAGCTGCTGCAGTTTCATATATGCAACTGTCATGTTTTGTCAGAAAAACATTGTTTCCTCATGCCATATAATCTTTACTGGCTCATATAATCTTACTGACTCCATTTCCTCAATAAATTCTAAGCCTTGGGGCAAAGGAGTGCAATTTGGACCTAAGCCCTCTTGTTTGCCCCACCTTTAACAGCTGTTGATCTTTGGGCTAATTGTTATTTACTGCAAAAGGAAGCTTCTCTGAAAAGGGTTGAGAAATGCTAGTCTAGGAGCCTATCAGTAACTGATTAGTGATAGTATAGGTAATACTTTGTCTGTTTAACGAAATATTAATAGCAGCTTCTCCTGTAGGGTTTATAACTTATCTTGCCTCATGTTCTTAGACCCAACACTGGTAAAGCTTGGGTTTCATTCATAAACTGGGTCTTGAATCTAATCAACATAAAGCTGATTGCTCCCATAATATTTGTTCTGTTACTGCATAAGTAGATATGATTTTTCAAAACCAGTCATTATTTTAGCTTTCAGGCTTCTGTGCTAGAGAAGACTGATGATTACCTTTTTTCTCTGGTAGTATGTATAGTACACTAAGTTATATACATTCATATATATGTTTATAATTTATGAAGCATCTACCGGAATACATTTCAAAAAGCCTTTAGAAAAATTGTTGTCTTTTCCTATTCTCCCTTTTGTAACCTGCCTTTCCATCATCCAACTAATTTAACTTTCCTGTTCCATTATTCTCCTTAACTCTTATATAACATTGAATTCTGTCTCCCTTTCCTTTTAATCCTTCAGCAATATCGACTTTTATTGGGTTTTGACCTCTTTAGGCTTTCCACATGAAAAAAAAAAAAAAGTTTCCTTTTATATTTCAAAGCTACCATCAATATACGAGAGAAATCATGTGACATTTTCTTCCTGGGTTTGATATACCTCAGGTAGCATACCAGATGTGTTTTTCAACTTCATTCATTTACAGTGGACTTCATAGTTATATGCATAATTATATTTTTCCTAACAGCTGAATAACATTTCAGTGTGAAAATATACCACATCAGTATTATCTATCCCTTCATAGATGGACCTCTAAGCTATTTGCATTTCATGGCTATTGTGAATAGAACAGCAATAAACATTGCTGAGCAGTGTCCCTTTAGTAGGGTATAGGGTCCTTTGATTAGATGCTCAGGAGTTGTAAAGCTAGAGCAAGTGGTAGATAAGTTTTTTTTAGCTTTCTGATGAATCCTCATACTGATTTTAATAATGGTGGCTGTATGAGTTTGCCTTTCCACCAGCACTGATTAAGTATGCCTCTTCCTAGTATCTTCTATAGGGCTGGATTTGTGGTTAGATATTGTTTAATTTTTTTTTTTTTTTTGTCGTGGAATATCTTGTTTTCTTCATCTATGGTGATTAAAAGTTTGGTTGAGTATAGGAGTCAAGATTGACATCTGTGGTCTCCTAGTGTTTTTAAGATAACTGCACAGACTCTTCTGAGCAGAGATTGAAGGAATGCCAACCTGAGACCCACCCCATGGAAGAGAGCCAACCTCTGACACTATTATGGACACTCTGCTTTATTTGCAGATGAGAGCCTAGCATGGCTGTCCTCTGAGAGTCTCCACCCAGCAATAGAATGAAACAGAAGCTGAGAATCACAGATGAATATTGGGCAAAACAAAGGGAGCCTTGTGGAATAGTGGAGGGAATGGTAGAAGAACCTTGAGGAGACAGAAACTCTGTAAGAAGACCAACAGAGCCAACTAACCTGGGCCCAGAGGGCCTTGTGGAGACCGAAGCACCAACCAAGGACCATGTATGGACTGCATCTAGGCCATCTACATGTATGCACCCAATGGACAGCTTGGCCTTTATGAGGGTTTCTTAGAAAGGAGAGTAGGGGCTGTCTCTGACATGGTCTCTGTTGCCTGCTTTTGACACTTTCACCTGGCATGGCTGCCTTGCAGGGCACGGTGAAAGAGGAACTTTTCAGTCCTGGTAATGAAACTGGATGTGCTGGGGTGGGTTATTGGGGGGAGAGGAGGCGTGTTCCTCTTTTCTCAGCCATTCTGGCTGAAGTTAGGTTACAGTACAAAGTGTTGATTTGCATTTCCCTGATTGATGAGCCATTTGAAAAAGTTTAAAACTTTCTAAACATTTTCACTAAATCTTTTGAAATTTCCCTGTTTAGTTCTTTACCACAATTTTAAAGTAATATTTTATTAATTTTCTGATAACATTGTACAATATATTTGATCAATTTGATTTTTTCTTATTTTTTTGAGATTATAATATATAATTTTTCCCTCTCCTTCTTTTCCTCCAGACCCACCTATATAATCTTTCTTTTTTTTAAATTCATGGCCTCTTCTATAGATTATTATTACACACACATATTCTTGTATGTGTACACACACACACACATACACACACACATATCCTAAATACTTAAATACAACCAGTTTGTTCTGTATAGTATTACTTGTGTGTATGTTTTTAGGGATGATCATATGGTATTGAATAGTAGGGCTGGCCATATTATATTGAATAATCAGTTTTTCAATTTATTTATTTATTCACTTTACATCCTGGTCATGGCTCCTCCTTCCTTTCCCCCAAGTCCTACCCTACTTCCACACACCTCTCTTCTATTCCCCAGAAAAGGGGACCCCCCTGTCTACCCACCCCATATCATCAAGTCACATGAGGACTGAGTTCAACCTTTTCTCCTTCTGGCCTGGTAAGGCAGTCCCGTCAGAGGTAAATGATTAACAAGCAGGCAACAGGCAAAATCTACATATGTGTAGAAGACTTTGGACCAGTCCATGTATGGTCTTTGGTTGGTGCTTCAGACTCCACAGGCCTATCTGGGCCCTGGCTAGTTGGCTACGCTGGTCTTCTTGTGGAGCTTTTGTCACCTCTAGGTCTGTATATCCTTCCCCCACTTTTTCACTAGACTCTCTAAGCTTCGCCCAATGTTTGGCTGTGAATATCAGCATTTATTTCATACAGTTGTTGGGTGAAGCCTCTCAGAAAACAACTCTGATAGGCTCCTGTCTGCAAGCATAGCAGAGTATCATAAATAGTGTCAAAGGTTGGCTCTCTTCCATGGGGTGGGTCTTGGCTTGGACCAGGCATTCGTTGGACATTCCCTCAGTCTCTGCTCGGCCTGTCCTACCTTTGTCCCTGCATGCCTTGTAGACTGGGTAAGTTTGGGGTTGAAATTTTTGTGGGTAGCTTGGTGCTCTCTTTCCTCCAGTAGGAGTCTTGTCTAGTTAGAAGCTGTCCTCTTCAGTCTCCATGGCCCCTGCTCCTAAGAGTCTCAGCTAGAGTCTCAGTTAGAGGGAGGGAGGTGGGAGACAAAGAGAGGGTGGAATTGAGACAGGATGAGGGAGCTATAGTTGAGATACAAAATGAATAAAGTATAATTAAGAAAAAATAAAAATTTAAAAAGAATTCATCTGTTTTTGTTATTAATTGCCTTTTTGACTATGAGGTAATTCCTTCTCTGGGAACTTTCTCTGAGAGGTAAAAAGGCTATCCAATAAATGGTGGTAGAACACACTCACACAAACCCCTCTGGCAGAGGCCCAGTGGTGGAAGCCGTAGAATGTAAGTCTGCTGACGTTTGCTTCATCCATGACTTGTAAATATGTATATAGGTATGTGCTTACATGTAAATATGTCCATTTGTCTGGTTTTTGTACATATGTTACATGAGTGTATATCGATTATATGTTAGGAGCTCCTTTTGTATTGTCCATTGAATGTGTATACGAACATGTACAGGTCTACATGTCTGATTGTTTATCTACATGTGCTTATGGGAATTCGTTCAAGTTCTTAACTTCATCTACCTTTTCCCTTCAGCGCATGTGCCTAAATGGTCTTTGCCTTCTTTCTCCTTTTTTTTCTTTTTCTTAATGATCTGCAAACAAGTTAACAGGGATTCAGGATCTAACTATCAGCCTAAGATAAGCAGGACAAAGTTCACTTTAGCATGTGGAGGACTCCCCAGTGGCCTGCCCCTGTGCAGGAGCTAATCTCAGATCAAAATTCCCTTTTTAGCCCCTTGCAGGTTTGGCTAGAAGCCACCTTTTACAGTCCTGGCTGCAATATGCAGAGTGATAAATATAGATCAATTTTCATTTTTCTACATGTAGACATCTAGTTAGACCAACAGCATTTGTTGAAGATGCTATCTTTTTTCCATTGTATGGTTTTGAGATTTTTGTTAAAAATCAGGTTTCCATAAATGTGTGGGTTTATTTCTGGGTCCACTATTTGATTCCATTGATCCACCAGTCTGTTTCTATGCCAGTACCATGCTGTTTTTACTACTGTTGCTCTGTAGTACAGCTTGATAACAGGGATGGAGATACCTCCAGAAGATCTTTTATTGTAGAGGATTGTTTTAGCAATTCTGGGTTTCTTGTTATTCCATATGAAGTTAAGAATTTTTCTTTCAGAGTTTGTAAAGAATTGTGTTGGTAATTTTATGAGAATTGCATTGAATCTGTAGATTGCTTCTGGTAAGATGGCCATTTTTACTATGTTTATACTGCCACTGTCATCAGAAGAAAATGACAGCCTACAGACTGGGAAAGGATCTTCACCAATTCTATATCTGACAGAGGGCTAATATTAAAAAAATATAAAGAACTCAAGAAGTTAAAAAGCAACAAATAAAACAATCCAATTAAAAAGTAGGTACAGAGCTAAACAGAGAATTCTCAATAGAGGTATATCCCAGTCTGTAGGCAGTCGTTTTGTTCTGACGACAGTGCCCTTTGCTTTACAGAAGATTTTCAGTGTCATGAGATCCCATTTATTGATTGTTGATCTTACAGTCTGTGCTGTTGGTGTTCGGTTCAGTTTAACCTGATCTTGATTTTACTTTGGTAAGTGGTATCTATCAAGAAAATCATCCGTTTCATTTAGATTTTTCAATTTTGTGGTGTTTTTGAAGTAAGATCTATTGATTTTTGTATTTACTTGGTGTCTGTTGTTAAATCCTCTTTTTAATTTCTCATTTTATTAATTTGAATCTTTTCCCTTTGTCTTTTAGTTAGTTTGGGTAAGGTTTTGTCTATCTTGTTGATTTTTTTCAAAAAACAAACAAACAAACAAAACAGCTGTTGGTTTTGTTGATTCTCTGCACTGTTCTTTTTTGTTTTTAGATTATTGATTTCAGCCCTTAGTTTGACTGTTGCCATCGACTCTTCTTGGGTATGTTTGCTCCCTTTATTTCTTTTATTCCTCCAGGTGAGCTGTTAAGTTGCTAATATGAGCTCTTTCCACTTTTTTATTAAGGCACTTAACACTATGAACTTTCTTCTTAGAACTGCTTACATGTGTCCCATTAAGTTTGGGGTTGTTGTGCCTTCATTTTTCTTGAATTCTAGAATGTCTTTACTGTCTTTATTTCCTTCTCAACCCAGTGGTTGTTAAGTAGAGAGTTGTTCAGTTTCCATGAGCTTCTAGGATTTCTATTGTTTTTGTTGTTGTTGAACTCTAGCTTTAATCCTTGGTGGTCTGATAGAATATGTGGTGATATTTAAATTTTCTGGTATTTGTTGAGGCTTGCTTTGTGTCTGAGTATATGGTCAGTTTTGAAAAAGGTTCCATGAAGTGCTGAGAAGAAGGTATATTCTTTTTTTTTTTTTTAATTTGGATGGAATGTTCTGTAGAGATTTGTTAGGTCCAATTCATTCATAACGTCATTTAGTTTCATTATTTCTCTGCTTAGTTTCCAACTCAATGATCTGTCCATTGGTGATAGAGGAGTGCTGAAGTCTCCTATTACTAATGTGTGAGGTTCAATATGTGATTTAATCTTCAAAAATGTTTTTTTTTTACAAATGTGAGTACCCTTGCTTTTGGGGCATATGTGTTCAAAATTGAGATATCATCTTGGTGGAATTTTCCTTTGATGAGTATGAAATGCCTTTCTCCATCACTTTTGATTAATTTAGTTGAAAGTCTATTTTATTAGATATTAGAATTGCTACTCCAGCTTGTTTATTATGTCCATTTACTTGGAAAACCTTTTTACAGCCCTTTATTCTCAGATAACGTCTATCATTATCACTAAAGTGTGTTTCTTGTATGCAAGAGAATGATGGGTCCTGTTTATGCATTCATTTTGTTAGCCTGAGACTTTTTATGGAGGAGTTGACTTTGATGTTGAAAGATATTAATAAACATTTGTTGTTACTTTCTATTATTTTGGTATTGGTGTTGGTAGAGAGTATTTGTGCATGCTTCCTCTTTTTGTTTTTGTTTTGTGGCTGTGGAGTTGTTTCCTATGCTTTCCTGGATGTAGTGAGCCTCCTTGGGTTGAAGTTTTCCTTCTATATCTTCTGTAGGACTGTGTTTGTGGCTAGGTACAGTTTAAACTTGTTTTTGTCATGGAATAACTTGTTTTCTCTATCTATGGTGATTAAAAGTTTAGCTAGGTATAGTAGTCTGTTTTGACATCTGTGCTCTCTTAATGTCTGCATGAAATCTGACCAGACCCTTCTGGCTGTCGTAGTCTCTGTTGAGAAGTCAGGTGTAATTCTGATATGTTTGTCTTTATATGTGACTTGTCTTTTTTCCTTTGTTGATTTTAATGTTCTTTCTTTGTTCTGTACATTTTGTGTTTTGATTATTATGTGATGGGAGGATTTTCTTCTGTGGTCCAATCTATTTGTTGTTCTGTAGTCTTCTTGTATGTTTATAGTCATTTCTTTTTTGGAGTTGGGAAGTTTTCTTACATGATTTTGTTGAAAATATTTCCTGGGCCTTGGAGTTTGGAGTCTTCTATTCTTATTATTTTTAGGTTGTGTCTTTTCATATTGTTCCAGATTTCTTGGATGTTTTGTGTCAGGAACTTTTTAGAGTTAACATTTTATTTGACTGATGTATTGATTTGTTCAATTGTATCTTGTACACCTGAGATTCTCTCTTCCATCTCTTGTATTCTGTTATTGATGCTTGTGTCTGTAGTTCCTGTTCTTTTATCTAGCTTCTCCATAGATCAGGCTTGCTTCGGGTTGTGTTTTCTCTATTACTTCTATTTCAATTTTTAGATCCTAGACAGTTTTTTTTATTTCTTTCTCCCATTTGGTAGTATTTTCTTGTATTTCTTTAAGAGATTTACTCAATTCCTTCAACTGTTTGATTGTATTTTCTGTGTTTAAAGGATTTGTTCAGTTCCTTCACCTGTTTATTTGTATTTTCCTGCAGTTCTTTAAAGTATTTATTTCCTTCTTTTAAGACCTCTATAATTTTTATAACCTCGGGTTTAATATCATTTTCTTGGGCTTCTGATGTGACAGGATCATCAGGGCTTCTTGTAGTAGGATAGCTGGGTTTTGGTGGTGTCATTTGGCCCTCGTGTTTGTTGCTGGTTCTTGCACTGACCTCTAGCCATTTGGTTGACTCCGTTATTACCAGGCCTGGTAGTTTCTGATGGTCTCTGGGTTTGTAGGTAGAACTCGTGGTCCAATATGGCCCCAGTCCTCTGGTTTTTCTGCTCCTCCCTGATCCCTGCTGGTCTCTGGTGCCTCAGATCGGGGTGGGTCTTGGGGAATAATAGGTCAGGGCAGCGAATTGCTGCTCCCTGATCTGTACTGGTCTCAGGGGCCACAGATCAGTGTGGGTCCTGGGAAATGGCAAGGGTTGGGGAACTGGGTTGTGGGGCACTCACAGAGCCCCGGGCAGACCTGGCCACTCTTGCTAAATGGCAGACAAATAGATGGAAAAGGGGGCGGCTCTTAACTGATTCTCCCTGATCTGTGCTGCTTTGGGAGGGTTGATTATTTTATTTATGTTCAATTTCTTGAGCTCTTTGTTTATTCTAGACACTTACTCCATGTCAGATATATAGCCGGTAACGAATTTTTTCGTTTATCTATTGATTCTAGTGATGATATCATTCGCTAAACAGAATTATTGTTGTATGTGGTCCCATTTGTCCATGTAAGAATTAAAGGATTCCAAGATTCTCCAGGAAGACACACACACTTTGGAGATACTCCTCTCTTTTCTCATTGTTAAAAGTAAAGGGCATTTTCAATACCTCTTTGTTACCGCATAACTAAAGGTCTGGCTATGGATTCTCCTCCCTCATCTCTTCCCGGTCCTCAGGACTCTCTACGCACCCAAAGCCACACGTTTCTTTCTTTCAAAAAATAATTATAATAAATATAATATAAAAGCAAACAAACTGAAATAGCACGAAGCGAACTATCAGTAGAAAAAGAGCCGAAGAAAAAGCAGAAGACACGCATCTAAAGCCAGAGACACATACTTCCTGATGCGTAGAAATTCCATAAAATACATAAAACCAGAAACTAATATATTTGCAAAAGACCTACACGGATTTTAAACAAAGAACAGATGAACAGAAAGAAAGAAAAAAGAAAGGAAGAGAGAAAGAAAGGAAAAGAAAGTGAAAATAATGCCCAGACAAAGCATTATGATACAAGAAATTTCTAAAAATCCCATTGAATCAGGTGTTTTTTTTTGTCAGCCATATTCTGCTGGGTATGGAGTCTTCAAGACATTTATTTATGTTGTTTCATCTTTTTTTTCTTTTTATTGAAACTACAGTTTTTTTCCTCACATAGTATATCTTGATTAAGTTTTCCCCTTCTTCTACTCCTCCCAGTTCCTCCCGTCTCCCCTGCCATCCAGACTTCCGTTTTGCCTCTCATTAGAAAACCAGCAGGTTTAAGAGGAATAATAATAAGATAAAACAAAAACTAACATAAAGAAATTGGACAAGAATAAGAACAAATAAAACAAATAAACAGAAAAAAGAGAGCGTAAGAGAAGCCATTACAATCAGAGACCCACTCATTTGCACGCTCAGGAATTCCATAAAAACCCTAAGCTAGAGGACATAAGATGCATGCTGAAGACCTTGTGCAGACCAGTGCAGACCCTGAGCATGCTGCCTCAGTCGTGTGAGCTCATGTAAACTTTGATCATGTTGATTCAGAGGGCCTTGTTTCCTTGTCCTCATGTCATCTAGTTCATACTCTAGAGATAATTCTAAGGTAATAAGACAAAGCAAGAACATACAGGCTTTTATATGATTATATGTGATAATTCTGAGACTGATAGAAACATCAGGAAGGAAAGAAAAGCAGGAACTACTTCACATGCCCCTTCTCCACTCCAGCTGGGTCTTCCAGCACATCATCCTTTCTCCAGTTACAATAACATCTTCCCAGAGTAACTATGTACATTTCCTCTCCATCTTAAATGAATCTCTGTAAATCCTCTGATTGTAAAACTATTTTCAAATAAATCCTTTCATAAAAAAATACAGATACAAAAAATCAGTACCTTCTATTCTTCCACTTCTTCCACTTATTATTATTATTGTTGTTGTTGTTATTATTATTATTTCTTCAGTTTTTCATTGTGGGAGTCCCTGGACTTCAGACATTTATGTGGATCTTCTTTCACTCAGCCCTACTTTTGGTGTTAAAGGAATGATATAGCCACTATACAACATACCTCAAAAATGTTGGTTGGAAAAGGTAAACATCTGAATACAAAACTGATCAGTGGCCATGAAAATGATGTAAAGAAAGAGAACTACAAAAACCCTCTAATCACAATTACCAGATCTTAGTGTCTCTCATTGTAAGAGATAATTTAAACTATTCTGGTACTATTTTCTAACAAGCATTTTAAAGATTATAATATTTATATGGGAATAATAACAGTTTATTACACTCTCTAAATAGAGTGATCAATATACATCAAAATTGGCTGAACTAGAGTTTATAGTCTAGTTCAATTGAGAGAAATTATCTAAGAAATGTTTTTGCAAACATGCAGAAAATTTTTTGTGAGATTGCATATCAGCTCCAATTAGATTAACAAAAATAAAAATATAGCTTAAATGCAGGGTCTAAGAAATTTATTGTTACATATATGCTTTAATAATGAGAAATTTTATGCATAGTATTACAAAAACAATAGAGAGTGATATATACAAAAACATGCATCATGTGTTCATAAACCCTTCTCACTGACCACAGTGCCTAACAGGAACAACTTAAAAGAAGGAAAATGTATTTATTTCATAAGGTCCAGCACATCATAGGAGAGAAGTAGCAGCAGAGAGCTGTGGAAAGAGTATATAGAAATGTATGTGTATGCTCAAAACAGTATATATATATATATATAAACAGTATATATATATATATATATATATATAATAATTT